AGGGAATTCGAGTGGTTAAAATCGCAGCTTTTCGATCGTGGTGGGATCCAGCTTGTGATGGGACAGCATTTCTGCTGTTTCCCTTGAAATTTTCTCTTTTGGAAAATGAAGACTCTTCACAGGCCTCTGTCGCAGTTGCACACGAAAAGACACTGAAGTTTGAAGGCTGAGCCCGCGTTTAAAATTTGATGAGTATGCTCCTCAGATAGTAATGAGTTGAAGCGCCTTATATCAAACTAACACCTCCCGAGGACGGTCCTTGTAATGTGCTAGGTGAACGGCCCACAGCTGCTGCAGCGTGCCGCTCTCTTCGTTCGAAAGGGGCTGCGGGCTGCCTCTTTTCTAGTCTCCGACCAGGCTATATTCAACGCATAGCACTTGCGTCCATAATTCCGCATAAAATACGCATTCGGAGCAAAAGAGCAACCAGAAGTGAGCAGGTGCAGCAAAGTGGCGTATTTGGCTATGGTCAGGTTTGTGGGCGACTGGGCTAGAGTGCGGGCGGAGTATGGGAGCGGCATCTGGGTAGCCCTACCTTCCAGCCCCATTGTCGTGCACTTTTGAGCGGAAAAGGGGCACGCTGCTGCAGCTGCGGGTCCATTCACACAAGAAAGAGGATCAGCGGAAGTGGATAGATGATGTACCATTTCAACGGTCCAGACCCGTAGGGTGATTCCTTTTTCTGATCTCACAATCACTGTGGAGTATGCCTCCATGAGTTTAGAAAGCGTGAAAACTTTTGAAATCTCCTCGAAACAGCTGGGCGATTGTTTTCTTTGGTGATACCTTTCTAAAAGTATAGTTGCAAAATTTTGAACATGTCATCGGAATTGTACTGAGCCAATTTTCATCGTACAATTTTCAGAGCAACGTCGTGGTATAACTCTCGAGCCCGCCTTGTACGTGAGATCGGCCTGCATAAGATGGGCATAACCTATCTATCGCCTCTTGAAGTGATTGTAGTTCAGCTGTCTATTTACAGTGTGATAATTATGTTAACACGTTTCCCGTTTTTAGTACTCCCAATCACCGACGGACAACCCGTACCTAGTGTTGGTGTGGCGACATCCGGATGAGCTGCTGGACAAGGACTATCCACCTGATGATCTACAGGTAGTTTCTTGCCAAAGCCGATCGTTGTGCAGCTTTATGAAGAACTGGTTCACAGATAACGGCGATTGATGCGCTGCCCAAAGGATACTCTGCGAGTCTGTTCCGATTATATCGTAGAGCCGGTGAGAAAAATTCAACAAATAGCCAGGATTAGACCGCGATACATCCTTCTTTTCAACATGAGCCTTCTTTCAGATAATCCTCATCTACTCATGAATAGATCGCCCTTGCTCATCCAAGCATGCACTAGAACATGAATGCGTCATATCAGGTTAGTTTGGGCTTTGTTTATTACGGTCTTTGCTGCTTTACTGCTCTAGGGCAGGGATGAGGTGGTATGCGCGGGGGGGGGCAAATAAGAATAGAAAAGCCTGGAGAAGCAACTTGAATCATCTGAAAATCCTTCAGCCTCGCGTTCAATGCGATGTCGCTTACCGGCGCATAAATACTGAAAACGTGTGAGAGCTGCGAAGGGTCAATGAGCACAAAAAAGCCATTGGTGAGAGGCGTAAGAGTGGCCCCGGAAAGCGTAGTGGATGACGCAAGTTGAGTAAGCGGAAGATGCGGGTTCGAGTCCCGTCTGTTCTCTGGCTTTTGCTCATAACTTCAGCACTCTTCTAATAATTTTGGCGCTGTTTGGCGACGGTGGAGGGGGGGGGGCATTTTGCTCTTTGGAACGACTTACCATCGACGTGTCCGGCCGCATCTCTAGACAGCCTCTTTCTTCAAAATGACAGGTTTTATCATGACTCTGACGACTTGTGCTCCAGGCTTCACAAGAGTCTCACAGGTTTTTAGACGTGAGACTTGTAAAACCGAAGATATTGTATAGCAAAATAGCCCTCCCCACTCGGCGAACTGCGCATGATTTTACTTTGTGTCTGTATTTCCCTCATATTTTCAGGAAGATTACTAGAGAACAGCTCAATATGATACGCTCGTTTTCGACTACACATGAAGCGTTGCTGTCAGGAAGGAATAAATTAGCTGTGAGTAGTTGTCTATTGCTTAGAAAGCCTTCACTCGAAAGCCGGGTCACCTTCCCCTGCCCTTGAGCAAATCATTCCTACACAGGCTGTAGAAATAGCAAAAACTGATCAACGAAGATCGTACGAGAAGAATCCCCATCAATAATTCTCTAGGCACAAATCGTAGTGTTTAGGAGGCCGATCTGGAAAAATTGCGATCGGTGAGTAAATTGGTGCATTTCGTGGAAACACCAGTGCTGTTCTTCCAGAAATGGCGAAGAAACATTGCTGATGTTCGGCAGGTTTGTTATACTTTTGGCTGTGGTCGTGTTTTGTTTCGAACTTAATTGAATGGTTTGATCTGTGACATTTTGCAATATATGAAATTCAGGTGCGTGCAACAGTAGAACTGGATCCTCGGAAGGCAAAAATCCCTACAGGACCATCAGCATTACCACCGGGAACTCGTCAACGGGCCAACACGCTTAGGTTAGCGTTTGTCTTCATATTTGTGAGAAAATTTAGCCACTGAAGCCAGTGGGCACAATGATTAGGGGCGGGAGGTTGCTGGCAATGTCACTGGTAGAAGGGTTGCGAGAGGGCGGCCATACCACACTCCATCCTTCCACCAATGACGCTAGCTGCAACTGCCCACCCCAGCTATTGTGCCCATTGCCTTTGAAAAGGTTATTTGTTTCATTTGAAACTAATTACTCTTCCAGTGTACCCCCATCGGCACCAGCACCATTCCGAATCAGATCCGATATAGACGACAATGATCCTTGTCAGGTAAGTTGAAGAGTGAAAACCATCAGAATTCCAGTTAATCAACAAGTTTGTGGAATGTAGCGATTTGGATGGCGAACAGCTATCGCGGCGCTGGGTTCAAATTATATGGCGTTCAAATCCTCGGGACGTGAGAGTATTTTGGACCATTTTGACGGCGATCATATATCCTTTGCACTGCTTTTGAATGCAGCTGGGAAGATGTAACAAACTAGTAAATACCAATATTTGCGAAAGTTGTTCGTGAAGAATGCTGAGTAATGAGCAGGAGACTCAAAGGCTAGCGGCACGATAAATCCCAGAAACGAGTAGGATTAATATGCCTAGCAGGACAGAATTCGGCGCCTCTGAGCAGAACTGTATTTTTCGCAGATCTCTGGCTGTTTAACTTCGCTTCTTCGTCATTTTCTCACTGTATACATCCCTGCGACAATTTTTTGGTGTACGTTCACCTGCAAGATGGGTCCTTCCCCATTTGCGAGGTGAAGGGATTCACAGCTGTCCATCCCTTTTCTCAGACAGAGGGCAAGGAGTGTGAAGATAGGGGAAGGATAGCTGGGTGTTCCTTCATAACGTTCCCGCACATCACATCACGCAACACGCCGCGCAACCGTCAGCTAAGTCAGACGCATTGCGTGTCTGCACCCTCTCACGTTTCGCTAAGGCAGAGTGTGCTCCATAGCTTCTTTCTTTATTCTGGGCGCCGTGCCAACAGGGACGCCGCGGAACCTGGGCCAACCAAGACCTACTTAAAGGCAGTTGGCACGATAACTCCCTATAACGAGTAGGAGTAATACGCGTATCATGAAGAATTCCGCGACCCTGAGTTGGCGCTGCGTAGCGCCTCTTCTAAGGAAGGTGCCCTTATAAGGCCCTATCTAGCTAAAACATACCAACCAACGCCCACTGCGCACGCTCGCCCGCCCACAAATGGACGACCGTTCCTGATGCTCGTATTGCTTCATTTGCTAAGTAAAATATGAAGCGAAGGGATTGGTATGAAGCGGCTGCGGTGCTGCATGGATATGAGTACATACGTGCAGCCGTACCTACCGTAGCGGTTACTGGCAAGATGCCTACGGGAAACTCGTCCGAAATTGCTTTTTGAGTCATTGAGAACGAAGGCTTTTCTTCACAGGTTTTTTTTGACCGTTTCTTTTCGTTTTTCGCCATTCTTCCCCACTGTATAGCGCATGTTCCCCCTTACTGAATTCTTGAGCCGAAGTACCAAATTAATGCGTAGCCAGCTGCCAATTAACGAATACCAAGTCTTTTCAAAGGATCCTTCCTGAAGAAGTTTTTTAAGGATCAAATGATTTTATTTTGTTCAGGCGAAAATCCTGTATGTCCTGATGGGGGATTATGTTAATTACCTCTCTTCGTTGGGATTGCAGCTGTAGAAAGGTGACTAATTCTCGACTCGAAGCGGTGAAGTATCCGTGTGTTATTTTTCTTGTTGGAGAGACATTTGTTTTTCACTGCGACACAATCAGGCAGCCTTTCGCTTCCTTTGTTCACGCCTCGATCATTTTCAATGGATGTGTAAGAGCGTCGTTATGTTACACGATCAAACTATCCGCAAGGATGGAAAACATGCCACCACATGTGGTTATGTTCGTACCCATGAGCACAGTTGGTCATCTTGTTTGCCAAAAATTTTCATTTATTCTTACAATTAAAGGTAGATCCTCTTTTGTTACTCCATTATTCGCGATGCATCAGAGTTGAAATTTCAAATTAAGATTTTGCAGCAATTTGGGTTTTTGAAAGGAACACTTGGGGCTTCACTTCTCCTTACACTGAAATAGGGTTATTGTTTGGTAGACTACAGGGGAGAGTGGTGTGGAGTTTACTTTGGCATAATTTCCGAGTCGACCAGGTGGAATGCCACTCGGGCAATTTTTTTGTTTTCCGAGTGAGGCGTGGGCTCCGGGGCCAGGTCCGTCGTGTTTGAAAACAGTCCGCGGTTGAATGCGTAGGCAAAGTGGAACTCATATGAGAGCGCGATGTGTTTCCATTGCTATTTTTTCCTTTTATGGCTGCGAAAGTAAAACTGCATGTGCCTGCCTAAAACATAGGAGAATTCGAAGCAAATATATAATATATCGATGTCACGCGGTGGTAGTTGGTGTAGTGGCAACTGACAAGATTACCACGCGCTGGGTACCGCTATTAAAATCCCAGATGGGGTTCTGTTTCTTAGCGCTATCACCAAAACCCTTTTTAGGTCCTCCGGGCTGTAAAACTGCGGTAGCAGATTTCGATATGACGTGTATCACAGTGAGCAGTGAACTTGTATATCAACTTCCCCCCCCCTCCCCAGCAGTGCATTGTATAGGCCACATGCATTTAATTAAGCCCACTCTTTGGATCTTGAAATTGTAGAATGCCACTGCATGGCAGAGTGGGGGAGCTTTTTTCATCAGGCGGAGCGCTTATCCTCTGTAAATCCTACTAATATAATCGCTTGTAGGCGCCGGCCTTGTGGTGCGACCATTCCCTCGCAGGCTTGGGGCTGTGGTGTGTGTGCTGTGTGGCTTGTTTGTGTTTATGCGTGCTGTCTGTTTGTCACGAATATCATAGAACCTTGAAGAAGAGCTGGCGGCCTGCCGGGTCTGGGGTCGTCCTTGTCAGGTTTCGCGGTGTACTGCGAACGTAGGAGCATGGGTGACAAAGACCTATAAATAGCAGCTCCATTAACCGATGGTAAGCCCCGCTCCACGAGGGCCGGAAGGTGCGGCTGCGGTTCCAAACTTTCGCGGGTGTCACCTGAAAAACAGTCTCGATTACGTCGCGTTCCAGAGCAGTTCTCGAGAGTGGAGGTAACTACAGCAGTAGATTCACAAGCAGGGACCTCGCTCGACCAACAGGAGGATGATACCATTGAAATGGGCGGGGCGTACTTGAGATGTGCGGCGCTTCCCGTGTCACTGGAAATCCCCATAACTTGGCTACAAGCAGTTCGGAGACTGGAAAAAGTTGATTAGGTCAAGCACTGGGTCGGCCCGGCCAACTAGATGGCGTGGGTGTGCACCCGACCGATATGGGCCTGGTACTTGGGCCAACTCTGCCTATGGCGGCCGCTTCCCACATGAAGGTCCGGTAGACTCGGGTCCCTGAACTGTCAGGGACTCGCAGAAAGTGGCCATTGACGAAGACTGAACGTCTGGTCAAGAGTCCACGATGTTACGGTGTGGTGAGGCCGCCTACAGCTTGGGCGGGGGATTATGATTATGCCTGTCCGCAAAGTGATCGAATGTAAGGAATGTAGGAGCAACTCCCGTTGTGCCAGGGCGGGGCGTGCCCCGAGGTGGGTGGAGCCAAATTTAAAAAATTCGCAAAACGGTTCCAGAGCACTCCAGACACCGGGAAAAAGTAGTTTGAGATCAGCGAGGGGTTATTAGTTGAGAAGCGCGAGGCATACGTTTGTGCGCGTGAGCGCGGCGTTGAGAGACTGGCCCAATGTGGAAATTTCCTCAAGCCGTGGTTCCAGAGCACTCAGGCACTCCATTACCCCACTGTGGATCAACGCCTGGCTTGCGGGGCGCGCAGGGGGCGTGCTCCGTCGTGCTTACTGCATTCGTAGGTCAAATGCTGGACTAATACCGGCTTTCCTCTCATCTGTCCACTTGATCAACGCTCCTTTCCACCATTTCATGCACCGTAATAGTGTTGAAAATAGCAGGTATGGTGCTATTGGTGAAATAATGTTGATCATCCGTTCAGATGAAAGAAAAGCCGAATACTAGGCGGGTATTGAAATGTGTGGAAAAAGGTAAGCGCGGTGGAGCCGCGCCCGCCCGGCGAAGCCGTGCTGTATCTCAGAAAGAGGCGCGCCGGCGAAGCCGGCTGGTTTAATATACATCAGAATCATAGAACGAGTAACAACATTATCATTTTTTCTTTCCTATTTTTCACAGCAAGTGTCAGTTACCGTTATGATCACAGAAGTCTGCGGGGCGTGTCAGCGGGCACTGGTTTGGAGCGGCGGCAGTACGTTTTCCATCGGTCGTTACGGCTTCGGGCGTCTAATGAGTGTTGGAAAATGAGCTGACGCCGCGCTGAAACCCATGCTCAGATAGCACTCTCCCGACTGACTTGGGTGATAACGACTGTGCAACCACCTCATCGACAATAATTGTGAATGTCGTAGCCTGAATCTATACGCTGAATGCAGTTATGGTCGCCGTATTGACTGATTCTTTAGGCGGTGTGCTGCTGGTGACGCTGTCGTTCGCGCGACCATACTTCGCATTCAAAGTATTCCTGTGGCACCCAACGAATTTGTGCGAAGCAGTCAATAAGGTAAGATTCGTTGAGTTCGTTTGATCTTCTAGCCTCTGAGAATGGGGCAAATGCTGAAGAATAAGAAGAAGAAGAATCAGCAGACTTAGGGAGGTGTTGTATTTTGGTCGACGGGGGAAGTGGGGTTTGTATCTAGTCAAAATTGTACGCAGCCAGATGCTCTGCCCTGACTATACCTCTTCTTTATGATTGCTGCAAAGGAGCCGAGTGGCCTGACCCTGTAGGTATGATGGCTATGGTGGACGGCAGAAGGAGTCCCCTCACTGTGCATTGCCGTGAGCGTGCTGTCAAAGGGACCTTAACCCTGCTCGCAATGAGGTGGATAAGACCCTGGCCGTGATCAAGTTATTCAGTTCGGAAAGTCCCTACGAGTGATGGCAGTGGTCCCGACTGGGTGTCACATCTAGCTCTGGCAGAAATTGTGGCGAATGGGAACGGTGGGGAGGGGTTAAAGTACGCATAGAGCTGGAGTTATTAGTCAGCTTTGTTAAAATAAAGCTGACTGTTCAGAGCGATTCTTGCATGGACTCGATGAGACTGATTCGTGAACTTAAACAATTCAAAGACGTCGTTATATCGCAGTGTCACCTACA